AGGATTTCGCAATCGAGTTTCCAAAAAACACATACAAAAAGCACAAGGTTTCGCAACACAGAGTTGCCACTGCGAAAGCTCTTGCGAAATCTTAAGAACACCATAGATTTTTCAAGATTTTCACAAAATGCTACCAAATGGGCTTTGCGCGCGCTCATGCATGTCGAAATCTGTCGAACGCCCTCGCGCGTGTGCCGTCGCGAGAATCCTTTGCAAAAAATGAGACGAAGGGCAGACGCGCGCGTCGTCGCGCGCGTATGCCGAAAACCTTCAAAACGCATCGGTTTCGGAAGGATTTCAAAATCGTGTGTCCAAACAACCTACAAAAACACAAGGTTTCGCAACACGGGTTTTCAACAAAAGCGTGCGCGCGCGCGCTCTTGCGTCGTCGTCGTCGTCGTCGTCGCCGTCCTCTCTCCTCCCGCGTCGTTGTCGTCGTCGTCGTCGCCTACGTCGTCCTCTGTCTTTCCTCGTGTTCGTCGTCGTCGTCCTCTTTGGCGTCGTGGTCGTTTCCGTCGTCGTTGTCGCCGTGGTCGTCTTTCCTCCTCCTCCCTCGTCGTCGTCGTCGTCGTCCGTCGTCGGCGTCTCGTCGTCGTCCCTTCTATTTCGTCGCCGTCGTCGTCGTCGTCGTCGTTGTCGTCGTCGTGTTCCCTCCTCCCTCGTCGTTGCCGTCGTCGGCGTCGCCGTCCTTCCTCCTTCTTCGTCGTTCGCGTCGTCGCCGTCCTCCCTCCTCCCTCGTCGTTGTCGTCGTTGTCGCCGTCGTCGTCCGCCCTCCTTCCTTGTCGTCTTCGTTGGCGACGTCGTCGTCGTCTTCGTCGTCGTCGTCGGCGTCGGCGTCGTTGTCGTCTTCGTCGTCGTCGTCGTCGGCGCCGTTGTCGTCGTCGTCATCGTCGTCGTCGGCGTCGTTGACGTCGTCGTCGTCGTCGGTGTCGTCGTTATCGTCTGCGTCGTCATCGTCGTCGTCGTTGTCATCGTCGTCGTCGTCGGCGTCGGTGTCGTCGTCGTCGCCGTCGGTGTCGTCGTCGTCGTCGTCGTTGTCGGCGTCGTCGAAGTCGTTGGAGACGTCGTCGGTGTCGTCGTACTCGTTGTCGGCGTCGTCGTCATCGTCGTTGTCGCTGTCGTCGTCGGCGTCGCTGTCGTTGTCAAGTGCCATTTTGTACCCACCGTCACGGTCTCAAGAGATTTTGTAAACCAAGTTGCGGGTGGGTGGGTGGGATGTTTGCGCGAGCAGTGGAGTGGACAATTCATTGCGAACAGAAATTAATTTCACCACTTAGATTGCACCACATTTCTTGCACATCGTGTATGGAACAGCATAAGTTGCACCAACTGGATTGCATCTCATATGTTGCACCACATAGAATGCACACCTTACTTTGCACGCGCCACACATATTCCACCACATGGGTTGCCCCGTTTAGACTGTACCACATAGCTTGCACGGCATATCGTGAGATTGGATCGCATAGATTGCACCGCATGGATTGCACAACATATTGCACCACGTAGAGTGCTTATCATATCTTGCACCACTAGAGTGCACCACATAGATTGCATCACAAGTATTGCACTGCATAGGTTGCACCACATAATGCACCACTTAGGCTGCACCACCAGCTTGCGCAGCGTATGGAGGACCGCGGAGAGTGCACCATATGGAATGCGTAGCCTAGATTGCACCTGCCAGAGGGCACGAACTTTATTGACCATATACATCGCACGATCTGTTCATATAGCTATATACATTTACATTATATATATGCATCCATATATCTATAGATATACACATATAGTGCACAACACATACTGCTAGAAGCACACTGGGTCGGAGCAACGTTGGCTAACATATGTGGACGTATATAGATATGTGTATGTATGCATGCTTGCATGCATGTACGCATGCATGCGTGCATGCATGTAGGTCTATAGGTGTGCACGTATGTAGAACGTCTGTTCGTACATTGTACACACATACAAATATGTGGGAGGGAGAGAGATGGAAAGAGAGGGATAGAGAGAGCAGAGAGAGAGAGAGAGAGATCGACAGAACGTGGAACAACAAAATAACGGATGTGAAGGCGAGACGCAGATAATGAGCAAGGGTGGAGGGGGATGGGATGTTGGACTAATAAAAAGGCGAGGAGGAACAGTGAGGGAGCAGGGAGGATACTTTTTTGGACAGGGGGGCCGAGAACACGGGTGCGCCAGCGCACGACGACGACGACGAGGCTTCCAGATTTCTTCCTCGGTGCGTTCGGGCCGTGCGCAACTTAAGGAGCACGGAAGATTTGAGTCCCCGATCTTTCCAGCGTCGACGACTGACGACGGACGACGACGACGACGACCCAAGGCTTCGATCCTCGAACATGGATCCCGATTCTGAAGTACTTGTTTTGGGGATCCTCATGTGGCCCATCTCGCGGATTGATTCGACCCTCTTTGAATTCTAGCTCAACTTTGGTTCGATTCACGTTTAGCTGCAAGTTCGGCGGAGGTTCGGCGCAAGACGGCGGGACGGTCGACGCGGCATCAGCGCACGAGTGCAGCGAGTTGCTCTTGGACGGTCCCCCGGGAGCATCCAGCCTTGCCAGCTGCAGGAAGTTGCCCCCCCCGCGGCCACCAGTTCCCCATGGACGGCAGTCTCCTGCGCTCGGCCCCGTCCCCGAGGGCCCCCCGCCCAGCACTGCCCTCCCCTCGGCGTCATCCCAACATAAGAAAATCACGTGTGCGCCGCCCGACCCCCGCGAGGCGACGCGCGCGGGCGCCGAGAAATCTCACAGTGTAGGCTCCGTGGCGGGCGCTCTCCGGCCATACCACTCGGGAAACGCTGCACGACGCACACGGAGACCAACGGCGCCTCTCTGGAAAGGTGGACGACGCTGTCCGCGACGACCTCTGGCAACGCGCCTCGCAGGCGACGAGGGCCCACCTGAACTTGGTGGCGGCCCCAGGCGCTGGGGCCTACTTGCAGGCGCCGCCGTGCCGGGCGCTCGGCACCGACTTTCCCCACAGCTTGATGCAAGTGGCGCTACAGCGACGCCTTCGACACCAGCTGCTCGAAGAGGAGGCATTTTGCCCGGCGCGCGGGGAGGTGATGGATGTGTTCGCAGACCACGCGCTCACCTGCAGTTGCCGCGGTGACCGCACGAAGCGTCACAACTGCCTCCGGAACCAAGCCTGGCATGAGGCGCTGGCCGCCGGCTACGCTGGGGCAGAACTCGAGCGCCCGGGCTTGCTGCCGCCGCGCGCGCCTGGAGAGGGCCCCCCGGCTGGCGAGGCTGGCGGCGACGACCTGGACGGCGGCGGGAGGCGCCCCGCGGACGTCTTCGTCCCGCGGTGGCGAGGCGACACGCCGGCGGCGTGGGATTTCGCTGTGACCTCGGGCCTCCGCGCGGACTTACTCGCGGCTTCTGCTGCGCAGGGCGGCGGCGACGCAGCGGCGACCCGCTACGAGGAGCAGAGCGCTCGCACTTGGACACGCAGCGCCAATGCTCAGAGGCCGGCCTGACGTTCATACCGATGGCATGCGAGGCCCACGGCGGCGGCTGGGGCCGCGAGGCGCGACGCGCCTTCGCGGTGCTCGGGTCGCAAAGCGCGCGGCCGACGCTGCTGGAGACGACGCCGCGTTCGCGGCCGATCAGCTTGCCCAGCGATTTTCCATTTCCCTGCGCAGGGAAAATGCGCGGGCAGTGCTGCGGCGCCTCCAGCCGCGAGCGGGCACGACGGCCGAGCGGTTGGCCGCGGCCAACGCACCCGCCACGGCGGATGCTGTGCGAACCGTTCCCTGCCCGCCCCCGCCGTCGACCCCGCCCGCCCTTACCGACGCCCCGCCGTTGTGACGGCCCCAGACTCTGAACGGCCAGCTGCCCCCCCGACGACCGCGACGACCTCTTGAACCACGATCACCCACGACGGCCCACGACTTCCGCCGACGCCACTCGCCCCCTCCGCCCCCCGCCCGCCCCTGCTGCCTTGCTGCCTTTGCCGCCCTCCCTCTCCTCCTGCATGTTGGCGCCTGCTAGCTGTGTTTTTCTTCCTCCTGCTCCTCCTCCTCCTCCTCCGCCTCCTCCTGTTCTGAACCTGCCCAGCCTAGGGTGCTGGCTGGGCAACTGTGCGTTTTTGAATGTTCGCGTCGAGTGCTGGAGGGTGCCCCCGTCCGACTCGGAGACCAGGGTCAGGGGCTTACAGTGCTCGCTGGTTCTCGCGTGCAGGAGTCGGGCGGCGGCAGGCGCCACCACCAGGTCCTCCGCAGCCGTCGAATCGACGCTGTCCGATGATTTCTCAGATTATGCTGACTTTGGCTATCTACTCGAACGCAATTGGCTGGGCCAGGAGGGCCGAAGATGCCACCATCATTGGTTCTCGGGGCGAGTGCGTTACAGCATCGTTGGTTCGGGTCGGACGTGCGCCTCCGACAGAGGCACGTCGTGCGAGTTACTGGCATTCGGATGCCAACCCCTGGGGGGTCAAATTCTGATTGTGCCCTGGTCCGAAATCTGGCTTGGTCCAGCTTCATCCCGGTAAATCCGGCTCAATCCCGCTTCATCCGGCTCGATCTGGCCTGATCTTGCCTCGTCCGAGGCCCACTCCGGCATAGCAGCTCCCAAACGGGGCCTCATCCTCCTTATAACCTCTCCGACGAAGACCCCCCCGCAGTTGCCTCCCAACTGGCGTGCTCCCGTGCGTTCCCTGCTCCGCGCGGGCCCTGCCCGCGATTGCCTCCCCGCGCCCCAGAGCCTGCCGCTCGCCGCCTGCCGCCGCCCGCGCGCCTGCCTCGCCCGGCCCGCGGCCCGTGCGTTTCGTCGGGCCTGTCCCTCTGCAGGAGGTATATTCAAGCACAATCAAACAAAAAACAGTCATGGGGTGATTTTTTCCCCCTAAATATTTGTGAACATCTGGAGGTATTTTTTTGACGATTCTTTATTTTTCGTCGAAAATCGGCCTGTAGGGGGACGCGCCCGACCTGGCCCGTGCGGCGCCCCGCCGGCCCGCGCGCCAAGGTGGCGGGCAGGAGAGCCGGGAGGCGTGGCGCGCCCGGCTGGAGGCTCGGGGCTATCGATTGGGCGTTGCGCAATGGGGGGTCATGAATGGAAAGGTTCAGGAAGTGGTGAAGCGTCCTGGCTCGCTTGTAGGCCTACCAAACAATGTTCTAAGAACGCTTTGTGGTTCCCACGAAAGGTTATCAGAACATTCCTGGCGGGGGCTGTCTTGTTTTAACACCTGAGGCGTAAGTTTTTAAGAACCTTTTCTTTTTGTTCTTAGAACAGCTTGTGGGTTCTAGGAACATTTCGTGGTAGGACTAGGAATGCCGGAATTGGGCGTTGCGTAATGGGTGGTCATACATTGGAGGGTGGCGAGGGTGGTCCGAAAGGGTACCCACACGGTACCTAAACGAGCCCCCTGGGGCTCTGGAGGGGCCCGAAAGGGACGCGAAAGGGGACCGTTTCTGACCCCCCCATTTATGACCCCCCCATGAAGCCACGCCCAAATCGAAGCGGGTACGGAGACCGTGGGTACGAGTTCAGTTCCCTGGAAAACAGTTGCATGCACAGGTCAGCACCAGCGGGGGAGAAGGGTTTTTTCAGCAGCGCTTCCTCACCTCCGCAGCGATGTGCATCAGAGGGCCCACAGGGGGGCCGAACTAGCAGCACGCATTTCGCACTGTACACGCGTTGAGTCTGGGACAAAAGTCATTCCTGACCATTTTGAACGGCACTCGCTGTCGGCGCCGCCGCGGGCGTTGTCCATTCGAGACACAAGCTCGCCTGCCCAACAGCGGCCGCTGTCGGTTTTGGATAACGTTTTGCTGTTGGGCATCGTGTCCATTGTTTCCGTACCCATCTCGGGCGTCCCAAGAGGCGGCCGTTGCGGCATTGGAGAATGGGGGGCACGGAGCCGCGGAGGCGCTGGCTGCGCAGGACGCCCTCGCACAGCCTCTCTCGGCGGCAAGATCCGAACCCTACCCTCCTCGCCGATGAACGATTCATGGGCAGCGGTGGTAAGGTTTGGAATTCGTCGAAAACGTGGCGAAATCTGAACCCCACCCCTGTCTCCCATCGATTCAGGAGAATCGACGGTTGGTGGGGGTAGGGTTCAGGTGTTGCCACCTACTCTTGGGCCTTCTATCGCAGTGAGGGGCCGCGAGCGGCGAACGTATCCATATCCACGACCTGGCGGTCTGGACTCCAGGGCGCGATCCCGCGGATACGCGGTCTCACGGGTACGTTGCGAGCGGGGCATCCGCCAAAAAGCGCCCTCTATCCGCGGGGTCTCTCCCAGGGGCCTGCCCCGCGAGGCTTTGAATGCGGATCTTTTTTTCGCCCACAACTCGCGCCTCCTCTTGGCGGGGAGGGGCTCCGGGGCCCAAAACCCCTCTCGAGGGAAGGGGTCGGGAGCTCAGGGGCCGCGGTCTGTCATATTGGAAAATGTCTGGGAACGGGTCCTGGGGAAAACGTGCTTTTTGTTTTTTCGTGCACCTTGCGGGTTCCATCTCCAGGGACCCCAGGGTTGCCAGACATCTAGTGAGCACAGAGAGCTGGTCCTGTGGGAAGGCCCCCGGTCCAGGACCCGTTTCCCTCAATGCCCTCGTATTTCTTGTTGGGGGTTTTGTTTCAGATGTTGGGTGTGGATGCTTTCCTGGGGCCCACCCCGGGGGTTTGTTCAAATCTAATCCTCTCTCTAGCTCTAGGCCTCCTAGATGGGGTCGGAGTAGATGGGGGCGGAGAATCGCGCCGCATCGCCGGTGCATCGACGATGCGGCCCGATGCGGAGCCCGAGTTTCTCCACGCCGGCGTCGCCGATGCATCGCCCACGTCGACGATGCATTGCTGGTGTATCATCGCCGATACATCGCCGATGCATTGCCGACGTATCGGCGATGCGGCGCCATCCTCCGACCCCATCTGCTCCGACCCCATCTGGAGGCCTCCACTCGGGCCGAACGAAAAGGAGGGATAGGGAAAGGGGGGGTTACGAAATCTGCTGCATGCAGCTGGTTTCGGCCCCGCCGCCGGGCCCATTTCTCGATACATGGGCGCCTCCCGGCGCTGGGAGGCGCCGGGAAAATCAGCTACGTGAGTTGTTTCTCAAACCCCCCCTTTGCTATCCCCCCCTTTCGCCCGGCCCGATCCACTAGCTCGGCGACAGTTCGACTCCAGCTCAGTGCGAGTTCGGCTCGAGTGCGGCTCGAGTCTTCGGCTCGAGGCGGCGGGCGCCGCCTCGGCGCACGAGCAGAGCGGGCGGCTCCAGGGAGGTCCCCGGAGCGAGCATGCGATTGGGGCTCGTTGGGAGGGCGGTGTGTCCAGGGGCAGCGATAGGGGGGGGATAAGCATAGGGGTTGTGGAAGTCGATCAATGGAGAGGAAGCGTGTTGCCAACTAATTCCCAGATGTCCAGAAGATGTTTCAACTATGTTTGAAACTTGTTATGCACATGTTTGAAACGTTTTCTGAGCATATTTCGCACATTTTGAACACACTTTTTAATTCAACGATAGGATTGTTAGAGTGTCTATTGTCGTGACATCCACAAGCATAGGGGCGGATGCAGCGACCATCGATCGCCCATTGATCGCCGATAGGGGCCCACTAGCCCCAGCCTGCCCAGGAAGGTGAAGATCCGTTGTCGTGGGCCCATCGCCGATCTATCGGCGATGTGTCGCCGATCCCAGGTCGGTGCATCCCCCCTTTGCCATTCCCCCTATCGTTGTGGAGGACGATCAATGGAGAGGAAGCATGTTGCCAAATAATTTCCAGATGTCTGAAACATGTGTAACCATGTTTTAAAACATGGAAAAACATGTTTATAACATGTTTCCGACATTTTAATCACATTCAAATCACATGTGAAATTCGATGACAGGACTGTCAGGGTGTCCATCGTCATGGCATCCACCACCCTATCGTTGCGCCTTATGTGTAGGATGAGCTCCGACCATGAGGTACGCCGGTCTCCAGGGCGGCGTGGGGCGTTTGCGCTGCACCCTCGCGGCGGCGGGCGAGGGCACGAGCCTTCCCAGTCGGCCTGTGGTGGGCGGCCCCCCAGCGGCGGAGAGGAGTCTCTGGTGTTGTGGAAGTGGATTAATGGAGAGGAAAAAACATGCTGCTCAATAATTTCTAGGTGTCTAAAATATGTTTCAAATATGTTCTAAATGTGTGAAAAACATGTTCAATACATGTTTAGAGCATGTTTTCGGCATTTTAAGCACATTCTAAATTCGATGATAGGACTGCCCGGGTGTCCATTGTCGTGGCATCCACAACGATAGATAGAGGGGTAGCGAGGGCTGCAGAAAGGGTGCCCTCCAGGGCTCCTGGGGCCCTTTAGGGCCCCAAGAAGGGCCTCGAGGCCCGACACGTGTACCTCCTTTTTTTCCTCTCCCCCCCATTTCTCGCCGTCTGGGCCAATCTTCTGTCAGTCTTCTGTCCGACTCGCCAGTCCGTCATGAGACCCTCGTGCAGTCCGGCATGGGCCATCAACCATGGAAAACTCTTACAGAAGTTAGTGGGAATGGCTACGAGTCTGCAGAATGACATGAAAGACGTCAAGACGGAGCTCGTGCAGGTCAAATTGCAGGCAGGCATGGCGTACTCGATCGCGGAGGAGGCAATCGACAAGGTCACCGGGATCGAAGAGAAGATCCAGATCATGGATAACAAATTTTTGGATAAGGAGGATGTGGAAAACATGATCCGTGAATTCATGAAGATTCCGTTGGACGGCGCGTACAAAGCAGAGAAACAGAAGACCGCCGAGGACAAAGACAGATTTTCTCGAACAGCAGTTGGGGGAGGCTTCCCGGAGGATACCGAGAAGAAGTACGTCACCGAGTACATTGAAAAGAATATTGCCCACGACGCCGAGGGCGCTGATGAGGTGTATGCGTACTCCTTCGGCAGCGTCGGCTTCGTTCGGCTCAACACCCAGAAGCGTTTGTACCATTTTCTCAAAAGGAGCAACGGCAGGCCCGAGGAAACAGTTGAAGGGAAAGACTTGTGGATATCGGCCAGCCGGAGCCCTGCGGAACGCATGCGGGGCAAGACGCTGGGAAAGTACAAGAAAGTGCCCATCGAGGTGGGGCTCGCCACGGCGGAGGACGTTCGCCTGGACTACCGCAGAGGCATCCTCATCGTGAACCGCGTGCGTGTTGGAAAGTGGACGGGCGAGGGCAGCGACGGCCAGCTAGCTCTCGACCCGGACAAGATGAAAGAGGCGGGCATCAACGTTGACGCCTCCGTAATCAAGGAGGCGGTGAACGAGGCCCTCCGGGGCTAGGAAATGAGTGTGGCCTGCAAGGTTACACAGAGTACCCGTCGAAGAAAAGCCCAGAGCTACACCGAGGTTTCGAGGGACCGCAGCCCAGAGAAGATTCATGATCAATCTTTTGTTATCGATTACAACATTCATTCTTTGATGTTGATGTCTTTTGAAGATCGCATGGAACGTTTATTGTTGGAAGTAGGCGACACACATTGGGATGTCATAGCGATTGTAGAAACATGGCGAGCAGATGGACGTGAGGCGTGGGTAACTCAGCACGGACACCACTGGTTTGGAAGCGGGGGGACCCCGAGAAGATGTGGAGTTGGATTCTTGCTACTCCAGCCGTGGTCGCACAAACTCTTCCGAGCGCTGTCGAACACGCTAGATGTGCTGGACATGAGGCTTCCTGTCATAGGCGTTGTCAGGATCATTGCTGTGTACATGCCGCACGCAGAGCGGGAGGAGATAGGAGGAAGTGGAGGCCGTGTACGCCCAAATTGACGTTCAGCATAGAGAAGCCAGTCGAAAAGGGATCGCCGTCATAGCTGCTGGTGACTTGAATGCCGAGGTGGGGCCGCGAGGAGAGCACGATGACAGAAGCGTGGTTGGAGAAAACCCCATGCCGAAGCGCACTGACAGAGGCGACCTGCTGATCCAGTGGTGCTGCTTGCGGAGCATGGTGATAGCTAACACATTTTACCTGCAGTCTTTTGAGGAGGCGTGGACATACAGAAATGGGAATCGAAGTGCGCAGCTAGATTATTTTTTCTAGATAGCAAAATACAATCAGTCTTTTCGCTCTGTACAGTATCATTTGGCATAGACGTGGGATCAGATCACAGACCGGTATGTTTGCAGCTTACACTACCCCGTGCTCGCCGACGCAGGCGAAAACGTACGAAAGACATTGAGTGGCAACCTGGCACTTCGTATGTTTCATCTCTGAAGGCCCGCCTGCAGTCTGTCGGGTGGTGCGACGTGACCGCTGCCGGCAAAATCAATATGTTGAACAAGTGCATGGCGGACGCAGCTCGGGGCAACCAGGCGCGCGGAGGCGCCAATCCAGAGACAGAGCAAGCTACCGAATCGGACGAAACATTGCGCTTGACGATAGCTTTGCGCAGAGGTCTTCAGACAGCAGACCTCCCGGCAGCAGACAAGAAACACCTCAGGACGCTATGGGGCAAGGAAATCCAAAAGACGATCCGCGCGCGCTGGGTCAACGCCAAGCTTGGCAAGGCGGAGGGGATCTTGGGGGAGTTCCGCGGCATTCGACTGTTGAGAGAAATGGCAAATGACCGGTCCAAGCGCCACATCACCGAAATGAAGGATAAAGGCGGGCATCTCCACAATGACCGGACCTCGATTGCCGAAGTGTTTGCGCAATTCTACGAGGACCTGTACGCGACCACCAGGGGCCAAGGCAGGCCAGAGGTGCACGCGCCCGGAGGGGCAGAGAGTGTGCCTCCTTTCACGTCAGAGGAGCTGGACGCTGCTATCCGGCTGGTGAGAAGGGGCAAAGCAGGCGACGACCACGGAGTCAAAGCAGAGTTCTTGAAAGTCGACTGTCCATCGCTGAGGAGTCTTATGTTGGAGGCGTTCAACGCGATCCTTGTTCCTGGCGAGCAACTTCCGGACGGTTGGCTGGCTACCCGCAT